AAAGATTTCTATTCTATTATTATTATTATTATGAAGCTCAGACTGGGCATGCCACGGCTTAGGTAGCTGAAAATAGATTCCCTCTCACACAAAACAGAAAGATAGAAGCGTAAGGATAAGGAACTCCAAAACTGCAGACTTCTTCCTCCCCACCGAAAAATAGGGGAAAGTTCTTAAGAAAACCTTCAAACCAGCCCAGTGAAGGTTGAACATACTAAACATTCAGAAGATTTGTGGGGCAGGGGGTTGTTGTGATATGATGTGGGCTAGATAACAGAGAGAGTGGGAAGGGAAAGAAACAATTAGATTTCAGAATGGCATCATTCACCCTGCCTTTTTTCCTGGCACATCCCACTTCTCCCTCCATTATTATCACATATGTAATTTATATTGAGGATAGGCACATTTTGGCTGCCTTTGCCAATTTCCTTGTTCCCAAAGGCCTTTTCCTACTTATATCAAAGCACAGCGTGAAAAGGTCCTGGCAATCTCTTTTACTCTGCAGTGTGCCCATGATGATGCCTTCATTTTATCCTCAGTCCATGACTGAGACAGGTTTAAGTAGTCCTTAGTTGTTCCAGTTTTAAAGTAGTGTTTTTCCCTTGACCAGTCACAGCTTAAGGGTAAGGACACTCTGCTGAACTTCCCATGTTGCTGGGGGGCAGCACATTCAGGTATTTCAGAGGGAACAAGATGAATCCCTCATCAGTTACTTATCCGGGACTGTCCATACCCCTTCCTCTGCCTTGAACCCCATACTTTCTTCCTTTCCAGAGGGCAAAAGAACAGGGGACATGTACTGACTGCGTGGTACCTGCAGCCACACATTTCTGATTGGTGGGGTAAGGGAGATGTACAGTACAGGGTCTTAGCATACCAAAAGTATTTCAAAACAAGCTGGTAGATAATGGGTTGGAGGGTTGCCCAGTAAAGACTGATTTAGCAGACATCTCCCATCCACTGTATGCATCAGCTGTCAAGTGGTTCCTCTGAGTATGAGACAGCTAATACGTATGGTAGAAAAGAATGACACAGTGAAGCAGCCTCTCCTGTTTCACTGCGCAGCTCCCACCCACCCCTCAGCTGCAAGCCCAGTTCCTGATTGCTACTTGGTTATTTAGCAGCTTTTGATGCCATTGATCATTGTATCCTTTTGAACAAACTCTGGGAGTTGGGGTTGGGGGCTGCTGGTTCTCTTCCTTTCATCAGGATTGGTTTCAGTTGGTGTTGGTAGAGGAAGGAGAGCTTGAGCCCAAAGGCCCTTCCTTTGTGGATTTCTTGTGGCTTGACATTCTCCCGAATCCTATTTAATATCTACATGAGGCTGGAAGACAAGGTCCTTTGACAGGTATCATCAATATGCAGATGATGCACAGCTGTATATATCAAGCCTAGGTTGGTGAAACTGTCAAGGCCCTGTCCTTGTGCCTGGGGGCTGTTGGGGTCTGGGTGGGGAAGAACAGACTTGGGCTCAAACCTAGCAAGACTGACTAGAAATATATCCTGTTGCTGGTGATCTGGGGGTTCTCCTGGACTTTCAGCAATTGTTTGAAGAGCAACTGGCTGCTGTAGCCAGGAGGGCCTTTGCACAAATATTCTGGTCTGCCAATTATGCTCATGGTTACTCATGATGTAGTCACTTCTTGTTTGAATTACTGCAATATGCTCTACATGGTGCTGCTCTTGAAGACCAGTTAGAAGCTACAGGTGGTCCAGAATGCAGTGGTATGAGTAGTTTTGGACATGTCTTAGTTCACCCATGTGATACTTCTACTTCATGAGCTGCACTGGGTACCATTTCCTTCCAAGTGTAGTTCAGGGTGCTAATATTTGCCTATAAAGCACTGCATGGTTTGGGACCTGACTACCTATGGGACTGCCTTTCTCCAGTGGTTTATGCCCAGCCAGTAAGATCTAGCAGGATCAGTACAGTCCAGATCCCAACTATGAAGTGATACTGTTTTGCAGGATCCAAAAGACATGTTTTTTCTGTGGCTGCTCCTACCCTTTGGAACAGCAGCCCTCCTTCAGTCCTTATAGCCCTGACCCTAATGACCTTCAGGAGAGCCACAGAGACATGGCTTTTTTGGCAGGCACTAGGAGAGAGTAATAACCCACATGGTGATTGCTTTTTAAATGGTAATTTTGTTCTGTGACATGATCTCCTGTATCTGTTTCTTACAGTGTTGTATTTCTGCTTTTAATCCCTATTTTCTTGTATACCCTACAGTTGCGTTGGTGACTGTGGCTAACATAAAATAAACATGTGTCATAATAGCAGTAATTTTGCTTGTTTAGAATCAATAGTAATGTTTATTATGGCATACTGATAAGCTACCAAGGAAATCATTTATGACATTTACTGGTATATAGTACAAATAATTTCTGACATTTCACTGATATACAGTCTAATTCTCTAAGAGTCTGCTTTTTTCAAAATGTGTAAGACAGGACAGCATCTGGTATCTGGTCCTTTGTGCCAAGTAATCCTTTGCCATAAAGTTCACAGTGTCACCTTTCTTGTACTTTACTGTCAGACATTTTAAAGATTGTCGGGTTCTTTTACTTGCTGCCTTTCACTTATGAGTCCATTCTCTTATCTACTGAGATGTCAATACTATAAATTCATGGCTACAAATGAAAGAGGACTTCCTACTTTTAAAGAAAATGTTTGGCAGAGTTGCACCACATCCAGCAAGAGAGGAACTGTTCTGAAAGTGGCACTTAGCTCAAAGAGGGAGCTCTGTGGGTGTGGGTGTGTTTATGAGTGTAGATGTATATTTCTTGGGTGATGTCTGCCTAGTTCACTGGAGTGTCCTCAAGGTATGATCAAACAAATCAACATGGCAGTTGTGGTGGTGCAATCAAAGCTTCACCTGTTTTTTAATGTGCATTGTGATGCACATAAGATCACAATGCACATTAAAAAACAGGTGGAGCTTCATTTGCATCATCATGGACACCCTCTTGACTTGTTAACCGTACTCTGCAGACACTCCTATAGATCATGCTTCTCTTCCTTGAGTCTAGGACCTAAATACTGTTTTACATTTTAACTCCAGGTTGTAACTTGTTAGGATTCCTATCTGTTCTTTCCCTCTCAACATTTATATTTATACCTAAACAGATATTGCAGAATCCTATATATTTCCAATGCTTTTCCATAGAACTGAAGCTCTTCCTTTGTTAGGGACCTGCTATGAAACAGAGCTAATAATATAATACAGAGATATCTCTGAACAAATGCAGAATGCTCACTTCATGCTTTTCAAAAACCATACCTGATCTGGACACCCACAGATGTGGTGGTCAAGAGGTGAGAAGACTTCTAAAACAAAAGATGTACTTTGGGAGTGAATCTAAGTCTCAGTATTCATGCAACAAAAACACTTCATCTCGAAGAGGCAATATTTGGCACAAATAACCTTTGTGTATCTTATAGCTCATTATCTAACCATCTTATCCTTTCCCTCTTGTTTCTCCTGCCTGCCTCGTCCAGTCTGCTCATGCTGTCTCAGTGCTCAGAGAATGTGCAAAGCTACGTCCTGCAGATCCTACTGTCCCTCTCCTGGCTGCCAAGGTCTGCATTGGACCTCTGCACTGGGTAAGTCAGCTGGCGCAGTGCTTCTTACATAATGCATGAGGTGCCGCATTGACAGCAGCACTCAAGTGTGGCTTAAAGAGGGGAAGAGACAGAAGGAAGATGAGGGGGTAAACCAAAAGCAGCTGCACAATTATATAGAGCTGACCTGGATTATTGCAAGGGGCCCCTGACATGCGTTTCTCTGTTCTTTTTGGGGGGGGGGGTAAAAAAGAGGTTTACCAAAGACTTGTCATAAACCAAAGTTTGAATTGCTTGTTGAAACTAATTTCCCCAATGGAACAATAAGTTGTTATTTCTTAATTACTACACTGATACTATGCAGTCCAAATCCATGTATGTTGACTTAGAAAGAAATGGCACAGAGTACAATGGGACTTTTTCTCAGTTAAATGTCTGCTGTCTGGAGAAAACTAGTTTTATTCCTACCAGCAGATGGCTCTTTTTTTTTTTAAAATTTTGATACAGTGATGCTTA